GGGGGGGAGGAGGGAGTTGGCGGGGAGGGCAGAGCTGGCGGGGAGGGGGGAGCCAGTGGGGAGGGGTGGGGAGAGGTGCGGCTGGGGGGGGGTAGGGGGAGGGGGAGCCGGCAGGTAGGGCCAGGGTGGCGTGCCAGGGCCGTGCAGCAATCAATCGAGCGAGGAGAGGCCCCTTGAGGGGACCCTGGCTCTGTCCCTTGTCCTCACCTCACTCGTGGGCCTAGGCAACCTCCCATCTCGGAGAGGGAGGCCGTCCGTGCTGAGAGGGCGGGGCCTGGAGGCCGCTCGTGGCCCCTGCGCCCTCTCCTCCTGCATCACCGAGGGTGGCAGCAGGGGTAATTCTTCCCCGAAGGGGGGAAAAGTCAAGGAACCTGCCAGGAGGAGCTACCTCTGCGAAATGTTCACGAGGGTGCATCCCGGCCCCAGACGCACCCCTGGGCCTCCACGGAAGGGGGCAGGTGGTTGGCGGGCGGAGGGGGGGCGTTCTGCCTGGGATCTCCCCGCGCGCCTCCCGGGAGCAGGGAGTGCAGAGCTGTGCGCACCTGCCACCAGCAGAGGGTGCCACACTCCCCACAAACCGGGGCCGGCCGCGTGAGCGGAGGGGCGGGGGCAGGTTGGTGAGCACCAGCCCGCTGGGCCTCAGACCCGGGGCCGGAGCTGGGCCGCGAACCCCCGGGCCCTCCCCGCTTTAGTTGCCACCGGCCAGCTGGGGTCTGGGGAGGGGCCGACAGCAACAGCTGGCGTCCAGGGCTCAGGCCTCAGGTGCCGGCCGGGCCCCTGGGAGAGGTGGATCTCGCTCGCGGTCCCCTAACTCAGGAGGGTGGTCCAGCGAGGGCGGCGGCGACGGGCCCACTGCGTCCCTCCGCACCAGGGGCCTTGGTCCTCCCCGGGGCAGCTCGGGTGCCTGTTCTGGGCCTGTGACACTGCTGGAGGTGCTAGCTTTCTCTGAGCCCTTGGGCCTGGGGCCAGGAGCATGCTCTGTGCCAGGCACTGTTGTCGGCACTGGGGAGGCCCCAGGGATCGAAGCAGGCAGAAACCCTGCCCCCAGGAGGCTGAAAGGCTGAATCTCTGCAGGGGCAAGGGTGCCCTCACCCATGCTACTACAGCGTGGGGGGGCCGGAGCGGACACACCCCTGCGACCCAGGACGGGCCCTGTCAGTCCTGGGCAGACAGGCTCTGGGGACGAGGCCGAGAGCCGTGCCCTGGCCAAGCAGGGATCTGCAGGGGCCTTCCCTCGGCCACAGCACAGCGACAGAGTGCTCTCTCTCCCCAGTTCTCGTGCCCTCTCTCCAGACACGGTGTCCGCACCTTTGCTCCGAGCCTTGACCCCTCAAGTAAATAGACGCGGCATCCGGACTGACTCATCTGGCCGGACGCACCAGTTTCCCCACCAAAGCTGCCGCAGACGCATTTAACCGTGTCTGATGTTCACAAGCAGTTGTGCAGGGAGGCACGGACGGGCCGGGTCTGTGCGCTCAGAGTGGGGCACCTGCAGGTGTGCCGCGGGCGGGACCGTGGCGGCTCTGAGCCGGACGGGCCGAGCCCCCATTCCCTGCGGCTCCACACCATCCTCAGGCCTCGCCCGGACCCGCGGGAGCCCCGTCAGCCCCACAGACCCCCACCTTCCCGCTCCTTTTGTCCAACGCAGGTTCACAGAGAAGCTGGAGCGGGAGGCCCGTTTTCTCGGCGGTGCCTCTCAGGGGGCGGCGGTGGCTGCATGCAGGGGGTGGCCGGTGAGTGGGCAGAGCTTCTGGCTTCGAGCCGGCGTCTTGCCTCCTGAGAACAAGAGTGAGCCGGCCACCTTCTCGGAACCGGAGCTCCGTTTCCTCATCTGCAGAATGGGACGCTAATCTTACCCCATTGGCTCGTTGAAAACACCGGAGCGGGAGCCCGGCTCCAAGTAAATGCCCCGGGGCGTGGCTCCTTGCTCCAGGTGTCCCCATCAGAGCGACCCGGGTGAGGTTTCGGTTTTTCTCCGGCAAAGCGGGAGCCTGGAGGGGACAGTGTGGTGCTGAGGGGCCAGCACCCACGGGTGGCCGGGAGTTGCTGGTGGGGGGTACCATGGCCTTGCCTTACCCGTTCTCTGTCGAGGCCTGGAAAAGGCTGGGCGGGTTTTAGTTGTGAGCCCCCCGCCCGGGCATCTGGTCATTCGGGCACCCAGGAGAACTTCGCTCACCGGTCAGTGCCTCCTATGGCCAGTGGCAGGTAAAGGCAAGCAACGTGTCCGGGGCCAAAGTGCCCTGAACTCCCGTGTCTGCAGACCCGCTCACTCCCTGCTTCCGTGCAGGTCTGAGTGCATGTGGGGAGGGGGGGTTGGGGGAGGTGCAGGGTTGTGTGTGTGCCTTACGCTGTGCACCATAAGCTCCTGTCACCAAGGGGCTTGTGGTGTGAAATACACACAGGGAAAAGACACGCGCAGAGACAGCTACAGCACCAGGCGTGAGGTGAAGGCCTCCCCAGAAAGACACAAGGAAGGTGCTAAGGGAATTCAGGAGGGGACGATGTCACTCTGGGGGAAGGGGCAGACGAGGGGACGGCTTCGAGTGCTCTCCTTAAATTCCAGAAGGACTGGATACGGAGTGGGGTGGGGGTGGCATTCCCAGCGGCACGAGTGGGAAAGAGCGGGAGTCTAGGGTCAGAGGGATCCAGGCCCAAATCCACGACTAGCTGGTGACCCAAGTGAGTCACTTAAGCCTTTCTAACTATTAGTTACAGAGTGAGAGCACAAAGGATGAGCCTTCCTGACCTGCCTTTCGGGGCTGCTGGGAGGTGGGATGGAGTATTTCAAATTTTTTTTTTTTTTAACGTTTATTTATTTTTGGGACAGAGAGAGACAGGGCATGAACGGGGGAGGGGCAGAGAGAGAGAGGGAGACACAGAATCCGAAGCAGGCTCCGGGCTCCGAGCCGTCGGCCCAGAGCCCGACGCGGGGCTCGAACTCCCGGACCGCGAGATCGTGACCTGAGCTGAAGTCGGACGCTTAACCCACTGAGCCACCCAGGCGCCCCGGGATGGAGTATTTCACGTGCAAGTGCCGTTCAGACCCTGGAGTTACTTTTATTATTAAAATAACAAGGCTTCTAGATAAGAGCATGGTAATGACTGCACCTGGATGGGCTAGTAAGCTGTTTGGTCCGATGCCCCAACCATCCAGGGTCTGAGGGAGGGTGTGGTTGACTTTCTGATACTGTCTCTCCTTGGAAGGTTAAGGATATCCCTTAAATGCCAAGCCTTGTTATTTTATTTCTCTCTCTCTCTCTCTCTCTCTCTCTCTCTCTCTAATGTGTATTTATTTGGGGGGGGGGGAGAGAGAGAGAGAGACAGAGGGAGACAGAATGCCAAGCAGGCTCCACACAGGTAGAGCCTGACGCAGGGCTCAATCACAAACTGTGAGATCATGACCTGAGCCAAAATCTAGTCAGATGCTCAACCAACTGAGCCACCCAAGCACTCCTCAGGGGATTTTCTAAAAACTCATTATTATTTATCCTATATCTAAATTCCATCCATCTATCCCCTCCCTCCACCCGCCCTCCATCCACCCATCCGTCATCCATCCATCCATCCATCCATCCAATAAACCTTTATTGAATATATCCTTGCTTAGCTCTGGGGATACAGAAAAAACTCAGGCCCCTTCTCTGTGCTCATTGAGTTCACAGTCTAGTGGGAAAGACAGCCATATAAGCCACAAATCATTAGTTTCCTTAACCCCATTTTCAGACAGTACTACCTTTGGCAGTAACAGTTTCCACAGACCACGGATTATGGGACTTTAAGGTCAGCGATCTTAGGTATATCATCTCTTCTACGCCACTCATTTTACTGACGGGGAAATCGTGGTGGTTATTTGTTGTGGAAAATACTACAACGTCCTCTTGTTGGCTTCTGAATGACCTCTCCTGGATTTTATTTTTTGTAAATTTTTTTTTTTTTCCAAACGTTTATTTATTTTTGGGACAGAGAGAGACAGAGCATGAACGGGGGAGGGGCAGAGAGAGGGAGACACAGCATCGGAAACAGGCTCCAGGCTCCGAGCCGTCAGCCCAGAGCCCGACGCGGGGCTCGAACTCACGGACCGCGAGATGGTGACCTGGCTGAAGTCGGACACTTAACCGACTGTGCCACCCAGGCGCCCCAACTCTCCTGGATTTTAATTTCAGTTCAGTTCACCTTTATGAAACATCTACTATGGGCAAGATCTGCAGATACAGTGATGGACAAGACACCGTTTCTATCCTCAAGAAGGTCACAGTCAAGGGAGAAAAGGACACACAAACAGGTAACAGCCACACTGCTTGATAAAGACGGGGACAGAGCACAGGGAGTGAAAGTATAGAAGAAGGGCCCCTGATCTGGATTTGGGGCGCTCAGGGGAGGCTTTCTAGAAGGAAGACCCGTGAGTCATCTCTTGAAGGGCAAAAAGAAACCTGTTAGATGAAGAGGACAGAAGGAAGCATGGCTTGTCGGAGGACCTGGAAGCGGGTATTATTGGGGCTTCAGGAGGGAGGTGGTGGGGCGCGAGTGGAGAGGAGGTGGGGGCAAGGGGCAGCTTGGTGTGGGGCTGGTGGCCAAAGGCCGTCTCTTCCTTCCCGGGCCTGATGAGTGCAGCCTCACTCGCTTCCCCTGAGCCCAGAAGCCCCACCGCACCCGCTGGCCTTCGTCTCTAAACAGGTGCCCCTCTATCTATGGTCCCTTGCTTTATTGAGCTTTGCAGATACTGCATGTTTTTACTTTGCAAAGGGAAGGTTTGTGGCAACCCTGGGTCGAGCAAGTCTATCGGTGTCATTTTCGTAACAGCGTTTGCTCCCTCTGTGTCTCTGTGTCCTATTTTGGTATTTTTTGCAACATTTCAAACTTTTTCATTATTATATTTGTTATGGTGATCTGTCACCAGCGAGTACGACTTGTTGAAAGTTCAGATGATGGTTAGCAGTTTTTAGCGATCAAGCCTTTTTCAAAAAGATTTCAAGTAATCTCTATACCCAGCATGGGGCTCGAACTCACAACCCCGCGATCGAGAGTCACATGCCCCCTGACGGACTCAGCCAGGTGCCCCGCGATAAAGTACTTTTAAATTAAGGTATATATGTTGTTTTTTGTAGACATAATGCTATTGCACACTTAGTAAACTATAGTGTAGTGTAAACATAACTTTTTAAAAATAAAGTTTATTTATTTTTGATAGAGAGAGAGAGAGATGGAGAGAGCGAGCGTGCAGGACAGAGCATCCCAAGCAGGCTCCGTGCTGACAGCACAGAGCCTGACGTGGAGCCCGGACTCACAAACTTGGAGATCATGACCTGAGCTGAAATCGAGAGTCGGACGCCTAACCGACTGAGCCCCCCGGGCGCCCCGAGGGAACATAACTTTTATGTGCAGGGGGAGGCCAGAAAATTCATTGGCTTGCCTTCTTGCGATATTTACTTTCTTGCAGGGGGCTGGGACAGAGCCCGAGGCGTCTCTGAGGCGCCTGGAGACTGAAGAGGCCGATTCGCCTGAAGGAAGAGCCCATCCTGTGGCTCAAGCGCCACCACCCCCGCGAAGCCTCAGGGTGCTACCTCCGCCTTCAATGAGCCGTACAGTCTACACCACACTTGGGATCTCGGTCGCGGCTCCTTTTCATCCACGAAAAGTATAGCCTCTGTGGTGAGACCATAAGCTCCTGAGGGCTGCCTGTGATAACGTTTAGTTTAATAAATACCAAGAAGACCGATCCCTACTGGTGTGGATTTCGGGACACGTGGAAAGTGCTGGGGCTTTGGGGTTGGATTGGATTCTGGCCATGCCACTAGGTCCCCGTTAGTAACTGCGGGCAAATTTTAAAACCCGCCTGCTGCCTCAGTTTCCTCCTCTGTAAAATGGCTGATGGCTCCAAGTCACCGGTTGTTCTGAGGACCTGGGTGTAGCTGGGGGCTGGGGGACGGGCTGGGGCTTCCCAGCAGGGGGGCTTCGGCCCGCAGCAGCGGAGGGCAGCAGTGGAGGGCAGGCGAGGCGGCAGGCCAGGGTGGGGGAGCTGATGCCATCCGGGCCGGGCTGAGCAGCTCCCAGTGTGGTCCGGCGGGCTGGCCCGCGAATACCCGCTCGCATCCGTCCCTCCCCCCAACCCCGAGAGGCGGGGACCCTACTTTTATCTTGTTTTTTCGAGGGGAAGCTGAACATCAGAAGGTAGTTAGCTGCCTGTGGTCGTGCGGCCACCGTGTGGCAGAGGGGACTCCAGCCTGGGCTCTCGGCCACTAAAACCCGGGCTCTGCGCTCTCCCCACTCCAACAGGGCGGCCACGCGGAGGAGCCGATGCCGTGGCTCCGCTGTCCAGCTCCAGCCATTTCCAGAAGAGTCTGCAGTGGACCTTCGGCTCTGGCACAGTTTGGTCCCCCCACGCTGTCCGTGACAGCAGGACATAGTCTAACCGTCCTTGTCTGGATCCAGGGGGCACAGCCGGGAGAATCGGAGGCGGGAGGCTGGCCCAGAAGGGTCAGCTGAAGCGGGAGGCAGGTCACGGTGCCGGAGGGGGCACAGCAATGCCCAGGAGCCTGGCCCTGAAAAATGATTCTCACAGCCCAGATGCTGTATCTGGCACTGAGAACCGATGCCAACGGCACGTTCTGCTACTAACAACTAATTTATAAGGAAATCACTAAGCCTAACAGGTGCTTTGTCTGGGGATGGGGTGGGGGGAGAAGACCAAGAAGACGGAGGGGAAGGGGAGGGAGGGCAGGGCAGGGCATGAGGAGGGCGGGCGGGCTCTGGAGGGCTTGCACGGCCATGGGCAAGCACGGGAGACGCCAGGCTCGGGTCTGACCGCGGCGCTATGGCTGGTGCCGGCGGGGTGGGGGTGCAGGGGGAACGACCACGTTGCTGGTGATGACAACAACCATCGGGATTATTGTGTGCGGCCATACTCGGGTTTCCGGGGTTGTGGCTTAGATTACAAGTAATATTTAGCTCTTAATCGCAGCCAACAGGGGTTGCAGAGGTGAGGCTGGCACGCAGAGGGCTCTCTGGCCCGTTTGTTGGGAGCTTGTCCACTTGCAGCTCCGCATTCAAGAGAGCTGCTTCAGAAACCCACTGTGTGCGTGTGCATGTGTGTGCGTGTGCACACGTGTGTGCACACGAGCATGCTTGTGGGCCAGTGCTCGCTCACCTATGTACACACATGTGTGCACATACCGGGGTGTATGGCTCTCCTGCCCTTCCCCTTCCTGGACAGAAAAATCATTTCTCCCTCTGAAACCCCGGCTGTGCCCGGGGATCCCGTCACCTCCCCTTCCTCACTGATCCCTAAATCAGCGGCGGTTAGAAGGGGAAATGAATTCCGCTCTGCTCCCATCTCTTTGGAACTCCCTTTGCACACAGTGGGAGCTTAATAAATACTTGATGATGGCTCTGAACCTGGGAAGTGGGCAGCTGTTCCCAGCTCTGACTCTCAGGGCCCCACAGGGCAGATCAGGTGGGGGGGTGGCCACGGCGGGGGGGGGGGGGCCAGGGGGGGGTTCAGTCTTCCTGCCAGACGCTGTGGTGACGCCGCAGCGCCCGGGAGCTGCTCTGTTTCACACGCCCCGCTGTGGGAAGGCCAGTTTTCCTGCAAGCCTTCTCTGGTTCCTTCCCAGCACGCGGGCCACTTCATGGAGGCCCCGCTTTGCCCTGAGCAGCACAGAGGAAAGGCGTCCGGGCAGACCGGATAGCAGCTGTGGGTCCCACCGACCTGGGTTCAAATCCCAGCACCCTCCACCGGCCCGGTGACATCTGGCAATTTACTTACCTGTGCTTGTGTGATCTGTTCTTCAGTTTTCATCTGTAAAAGGAGAATGATGACATCATTTGCATGGGGTTGAAGTGGGGGGTGGAAGTAACAAAGAGGCGCCTGCACGCTTACTGCCGGCGTTCAGTAGGTGAGCTTACCCACCTGGGGTCGGGAGACGACGGGGGGTGGGGGGGGGGCGCCCGTCTGCTCTGTGACCCCTGGAGCTGTAGCTCAACGTCTCGGAGCATCAGGCTGTGAACTGGGGAGACCGGGCCCACGTCCCCGGGCGTCTGGGGTCGACCTGCGGTACACCCCGGCGGGTAACGACCGGCGGCCTGCCCGCCCCACCCCCGCGTCAGGGTGCGCAGCCCCCTCCTTGCGAGGCCCCGCTCCTCCTCCCCAGCGCGCCGCGCGCGCGCACGTCCCCGTCGCCTCGCGGGCTTGTGCCACACCTGTCGCAGCCGAGAGGGCCGGCCCGGGGTGGGGGGTGGGGTGGGGGTGGGAGGGGCGGCGGAAACTACAGCTCCCAGCCCTCGCCGCGCGGCCCGGGCCGGGGGGGGGGGGGGGGGGGTGGGCGCCGGGGCGGGGGGTGGGGGGGGGGCGACGGGCCCCTCCCCCGGGGAGGAGCCCGCGCGGGGGCGGAGTCAGGAGGCGGCGGCGCCCCGAGCCGAGCCAATGAGCCCCGCTGCCACCAAGTGGGCTGGGCCTGCAGCGGAGCGCTGGCCGCGGGAGGGGAGAGCAGAGCTGTTGAGCCCGCGAGGAGCGAGGCTGAGCCTGGCCGTGCGCGCTCCCAGAGGGCCGCCTCCTGAGACGGAGTTCCTTCCCCGCTTCTTCTTGCCCCAGGCCCCTCCTGCCCAGGGCCATGCACCCCTGAGTGGCGGCGTCTGGACCCCGGGCAGCCCCAGAGAACCGGAGCCAGAGAACGAAGACGGGGCCAGGACACCTGCTGGGGGCTTGGATGCCCGGCTGCCTCTGAGGACATCTTTGGAGCGAGGGTGGCTTTGGGGTGGGGGGTTGTGCTGCAGGGAATCCAGCCAGGCCCCAAGATGGACACTTCTGGGCACTTCCATGACTCGGGGGTGGGGGACCTGGATGAAGACCCCAAGGGTCCCTGCCCGTCGTCCGGGGATGAGCAGCCGCCGCCGCCGCCGCCGCCCCCAGCAGCCCCCCAGCAGCCCCCGGGACCCCTGCTGCAGCCTCCGCAGCAGCCCCAGCAGCAGCCAGCGCGTCCCCTGTCTCTGCTCGCCCAGGTCCAGAGCCAGCCCGTCCAGCCCGGCCTGCCGCACTCCTCACCCACGACGCTCAGGGGCCCCCCTTCGGCCAACTCCACCGCTGCCCTCCGCCCCTCCTCCAGGCAAGGCAGCCAGTTCAATCTCAATGACCACTTGCTCGGCCACTCTCCAAGCTCCACAGCCACAAGTGGGCCCGCTGGCGGCGGCCGGCACCGGCAGGCCAGCCCCCTGGCGCACCGGCGGGACAGCAACCCCTTCACGGAGATCGCCATGAGCTCCTGCAAGTACAGCGGGGGGGTCATGAAGCCCCTGAGCCGGCTGAGCGCCTCCCGGAGGAACCTCATCGAGGCCGAGCCCGAAGGCCAGCCCCTCCAGCTCTTCAGCCCCAGCAACCCCCCCGAGATCATCATCTCCTCCCGGGAGGACAACCATACCCACCAGACCCTGCTCCACCCCCCCAACGCCACCCACAACCACCAGCACGCCGGCCCCGGCCCCGGCCCCGGCCCCGGCCCGGCCACCGCCGCCGGCAGCGCCACCTTCCCCAAAGCCAACAAACGGAAAAACCAAAACATTGGCTATAAGCTGGGACACAGGAGGGCCCTGTTCGAAAAGAGGAAGCGTCTCAGTGACTATGCTCTGATTTTTGGGATGTTTGGAATTGTTGTCATGGTGATAGAGACCGAGCTCTCTTGGGGTTTGTACTCAAAGGTAGGGCTGCAGCTTCTCTTTATACCTTGAACAAAAGGAATATGTAGGTAGCAACAGAGAGAGAGGGGAGAGAGAGAGAGAGAGAGAGAGAGAGAGAGAGAGAGAGGTGGATGGAGAGGAAAGGGAGAGAAGATTGATGGAGGGCGGTGGTGGGGAGAGGCGTTTGCTCAATTAGATGGAGCGCTCGAACTTGGCTTGCTTTCCCAACCCCGGGAGAATTCATTCCTCGCCTGCTGGGGGGAGCAGCCCCCGTGCACCGTGTCTGTTGCAGACTCTGTGCCGGGGAGGTTGAAAGAGTCCCTTCTGAGAAACCGTTTTCCTCCTGGCTCACGCGAACCAAAGCGGAGCCCAGCGGCTTCACGCACCAATTAATTACACTCTGCCTTGATGTGCCTGCCAGTCCCCGCGACTCCCCCTCCGCTCCCGCCCTGCTCCACTCCATTTTCCCGAGGATGGAAGAGAAATAAATGTCTGGGTGGGGGGTGGGGACTCCATGCCTGTCCCTTCTCTGCGGCTTCCCCCCC